AATCCACCCACCACACCCGCGTCGATCTACGCCCGTTTCGCCTCTCCTTTTGCACTCCGCCGGAGGGAAATCCATGACGGAAATCCACACCTTGAACTGTTACCTCTAGATACGGCCAGTTGCTCATAATCTCTGTCGTCGCTTGCCTCGGCATGTGTAATTCGATTGTGGTCCGCATGCTCGCTTACAACAACTTAAAAATCAGCTGAATGAAACATATATATTGAATTAATTAACTCCTTTGTTCTCTATTTAATTTTCTTGGTCATTATCTCATTGTGGTTGTGAAGCTCACGCACTTTGCATGTATTTTATATCTAACATGAAAAAGAGAAAGAGAAGAAAAAATATATATATGCAGGTGGAGGGGAATAGAAAGGGAAAAAGGTTGACCATAAAGGGAGAAACAAAAGATACGACTCCTCCAATGACAACTGAACATCACAAAGCGAAAGCAGATGTAAACGAGAAAGTAAAAGAATCATCCGAGATCCCGACACAATTGAGAAAAAGGAAAAAAAATTTTAAATTAAATTAAAAAATTACAAAATAAAATAAACGAAGGAGGTAAGACATAACGTGGAGGGCCTTTAAGAACTGGAGCTGAACAAAAAGGAATCTAGTTAGCCGCAGCCGCAGCCACAACCGGTGTCTCCACAACGTGGCTTTGAGGCCCGAGCGTATCTGTTACAGACTTTTCTGACACTGTGGTCTGCTCCTGCGCCTTCACAGGAGAAGCCTCTGTTTTCGTTGCTGTAACAGCAGTGGCTGCATTTTCGGCGTCCTTTATACGATCGTAGACGGAGCGCGCTCGGATATATGGATCAAGCTTCCAGTAGAAATCACTCAGTCGTGAGGCGATATCTTGCCTCTTCTTTTTAATATCTTCAGCCTTATCTGCGGCGTTGGAAGAAATGTTTATCCAGTCTAGCGTCGCCTTTTGAAACTCATCAACGATCTTAGCTCGTTCATCTTTGAGTGCGGCAGCTTTAGCGGTGTCTTTCATCTGGTCATTTTCGCCAGCCTTGGGCTCTATGTACTTGTACTCGTAGTCATCACTACCCCCAAGGCCTCGGGGAATGGCTTCCTTGGCAATAAATTTTTCTAGTTCTTGGTAGTTCGATGTGAAGTGGACTTTCGAAGCGACTACAGGATCCAGCCAGCCCTTGATGATTGCCCAGAAGCCTACGGAATGTGTTAGAGACAGTGCTCGAACAACGCTGAGTTGAGCGATATGAACTTACTGGAAAATATCCAGGGTGCTTTATGGACGAGAATCGCACCGAGGCTTTCAGGATAGTTGGCTTCGAAGCATTTGATGATGAATTTAACGGGTATATAGTCCTACGAAATCGCGTAAGATTATGAATAACCGGCGATCCACGATGGAGGGGGGGGAGACTCACCATATTTGCCAGTCCAAAGTCGGTCATATCGAAGACAATAACCTGGAATTTAATTAGCATCCGATGTCGATTGACGAAAGGCATCACAGTGACATCAATAACTCACAGCCGTGTTTATTCTCGAGTCCAACATCAGGCGACAGGTCTCGATTTGAAAAATGATGTTTTTCTCAATAGCAGATTGGCAATACGCACCAATACGATGAAGGCCGGACATTGGTATAGCAAATCGGTCTGCCGAGCTTATCCTTGCCACGGCAATATGCCTCGCCAATTCCAATCATATGAAGCATATCCTCGCCCTCCTTTTTCTTGATGGGGTCGTCACTCTTGCTGTTCTCATGGAATGCAGCCTCGCCTTTAAACACGATCTCATCGTCCACCTTCCACTCCTGGGATCTCCATCTAAGAGTAGATATCAACATCACCAGGGCTTTCTGGACATCCCACTTCCTTGCCCGGAGGAATCGAAGCAAGAAAGCGTCCGGGTTATCTTGCTTAATCGCGTTCCAGAAGGTCATCCGTAGCTCCTCGGGTGATTGACTGGCTAAAGCAGTCAAGAATTCCTTGTTCAGCCCATATTTATCGTCATCGTCCGCCATCTTGAACTGGCTAGCCACAGTTTGACCACTGGTGGTCGAAATTTCTTCCTTCTCCTCCACAGTCTCATTAGATCTACCGAAGAAGCCAAACCGTTTCTTTGTGACTGTCTTCTTCTTCGAGGTCACGGAGGAGGTGTCCGTCGTGTTCGCAGTTGTGCTTTGGGTTTTTTGGAGAGGTAATAAACTATCCGCCCACTCGACTCCGACGCTCTCAGCCTGGCTGATTTTGAATATCTTGAAAAGGACCGCCCAAAACTCCCTAAGTTTCGTTTCCTCCTGGTATGTAAGGTGACCAACGCGCCCGCTAAGCGCCGGATCTGTCGACATTTCGTCTTTTTCTGTTCCTGCTGCTTCTTCGTCCTCGAAAAGAATCCTAGTAACGATGCTAGATTTATCCGGCGCCCAATAAATATGTCGCAACCCTAAACCGCCAAATACAATAGCAGCAGCAACAGCGAATGTCCAGAACGACGAAGCGTATCTTGTACACGAAGGACTATATCGCCCAGGGAATCTAGAACGGTTATGTTTGGTAGGGGCCAAGTCCCGTCGTGACGGCCACCCTCGAAGGCCAGAATGCGTGCGTTGTTTGGTCAACCGTACAGAGGCAAAGTGAAGGGACGAGGGCGAGACGCGGCGGTGGAACGCAGCCCACATATATATCCTAGTTGTATATAGCGGATAGCTTAGCAAGAGACAGTAAGTACTACGCAAAAGAGAGGCTGAGTCTTTGATGTGTTTGCGAGGAACCTGCCACAGGCTCGTCCCCTGAGTGCAGTCCTTCGGTAGCTCCGGATACAAGATTCCCGCTAGAGGCTTAGCAGGATGTGAGGCAGGGGGGCCCCAGAAGAGAATGTGCTGCAGGCAATAGAGAATTTCAACAGGTTGGTGGTTGATTGATAAGTCTTCGTTATCAACCAAGCTTAGATCGATTGGCTTGTGCTTATGTCATACATTTGCACGCGTTTACACAATTTTGTGTCAATACAATCGTTCAACAATCAACTTGCAGCAAGCTCTATCCTAGCCCGTGTGCGCGTATGCATCTGCACCCTAACCTCCTTCACCCGCTTGCCCATTTTACTTCCTGGTCATGGACTCAGGCGGGGTACGCCGATCAACCTCCCGTCCGCGTCCTTCATCCCGACCTACAACCCCGCTTCGGCCTGGTTCACGGACATCGATTCGAGATTCCTACGCTTTCGGAGGAAGTTTGAATCAGGATGGTGTCTTCCAACCAGCCGTCAATGCGCTGGAACCCCAGTTTGCGGAGTTAGCGGATTCAATGGCAGATCTCGAAGCCAATTTTATGCATCTCCAGCTAATGCATGAGAGCTTGTCGCGGTTTAATGAGAGCTTCGCTAGCTTCTTATATGGATTAAATATGAACGCTTTTTGTGTTGACTTCCCCGAGGTATTATTCTAGCTTTTCCTTGTTCGGTATCATTTTCACTTTCCAGGTTAATTTCTCTTGTAGAGATAGACATTGACTTATGCTTTGCTCTAGGCGCCCATTCCAGATTCCTTCAAGAGAGCGAAGCAAGCAGAAGGTAATCCGACACCGGATATAGTCGGAATGGACCACGAAAGCAATTTTAGCGGCGCTGATATTCTTGTGACTAGATCCAATAACCGCGAACGAACCATTGACAACATCAGAACATGACGGTGAAACGACTTTCATGTAAGGCACTCAGCCTGCTGCATGATTAACAACAATTGGCTTACCCAATTCAACTTAGGACTTCTGATACCTCCTTTGTCGATAATCCTCCTGTATCAGCCAAATCGAGCTCAAAAAGCACAGTTCCCGCTTCCTCAACTCGCGATTCTAGACAATCCAGCCGTGCTTCAGTCGGAGGCCGCTATTCGACTCGAGGGTCCACGCGCGGTCGTACCAGCGGGCTTGCAAGACCCAGAGCTCGTGGAATTCGGTAGCTGACCAAGGATACCTGACAATTCATTGATATACCTAAGAACTTCGCCCTTGTAACCGAATCCTCCGTTCTTCGTCCTAGCAAGCAAGCTCTAACACTCCCGATTACGAAAGCCAATAAGCGGCCTAGGCTGTCTATTCTATCGCAATCTAGTACTTGCAGATTGATTGGAGGGAAGGCTACGTTCCTGGCGTGCGTTGCCTAGCAGCGGAAGAGGTTGAAAATTTACCAAGCCCAAAGGTTCACCGCTGCAATATACTCACGTTAGCGACATAACTAATCCAAGCCAAAAGCTGCTTGGTTAGCTACTCTCCCTGTTGGAAACGCTCCTTTGGCAATTTAGGGCGAATGGGTTCATAGAATCTTGTCTATGAATAGGCCCTTCCACCCACGAGTTCTCAGGGTGCAATAGATGCCGTCGTTGTTTCCGGTTTCCTTTTTCTGAATTTTCCATTCCATGTCCCCTGAGAGGTGGATTCGTAGGTTTGGCTACGCTTAGAAGTAGCCATCTGACGCAATTAAAATCGGGCGCTCTGCAGGTACCAAAGTTTATATTGGATGTGAAGTATTTAGCGCGCGCCGATAAATAGTATGACACCGCTGCTCAAATAGAAATAATAAAGATATTAGAAGTCCTACATGAATTGAGGCAAAATATTGCACTCCAAGCTGGTAAGAGACTGAAACCATCTAATCATGATCGATTGGGCAAAGTCCGGCGATTGTCCAAGGTTCCGCTCGGCAGAATAGTTAACTACTAGTATCAGTAAAGCCAGTAACAACTTCTCCATTTTACGCAACAGACGATCGCTGTATATTACATCCTGCATCGTGTTATTTTATTCATCTAGCCTTTTCTTGTTGTCTTCTTCCCGCGGTTCTCTTTCCATGCCGTTACCTCTTCACGGCCATATGTACTGAGGTTGCGGCCAGAAGTCCAAAAAAATCGGGAATCAACCCCAAAGTTACCCATAGGCACAGAAAGAGGGGTGATTTTGTGCTGCGATTTACGTCAAGTTTTCGACTATTATCCAGACGCCCGTTTCGTCCCGCAGGATCAATACTATTTAGTACCTCTCGGGACGCTTGAGGGAAGCTCGAAAGCTTTTATTCTCCCAGATCGGCTATTGAATGGGTTGAAGATCTAGCTAAAATATTTATTGCTCCGCTTCGAGAGAAGCTATCTCGGACTCCGCAGGTAGCTTCACGCCTCTCTTGAAAAGTTACTAGGAGAGAAGCGCCTGGCTACTCGCGCTCTTCCACTTCTGGCTCAACTCTCTCTTCGCCACCAGCAGCAGCCGGCCTCCGTGACGGGCTGTCCTAAAGAAAACTTTCGTCTGGATAGGTCCAACAGTAACTAACCCAGTAGAATATCGCCGCCGCAAATCACTCCTCCTCGGGGAATTAAACGAAATTATAGCGTCACACTCCACTCGAAGGTCTTTCGGCTATCCTGAGATTCCACCTGCAGGTTTCCATCAAGTGCTTCAGTGACACTTTGTCCACCTTGTGGAAATCCATATCGCATTTTATCAATCGGTCCCGAACGATACCTGCTGGAAGGAAAGAAACTATCATCATGTCAGATGCCGAATTTGGATGTGGTATGGACAATTCCCAGCGATAGGTCAATCAAAAAATCGGATACTAAAATGTCATTCAGAGCATCTCAGGGACGTTCTAGAAAAAGACGAGAAAACTGCTAGCCAGTTCCATCATGCTCTCCTCCAGGCACATCAGGGAGCGCCTCCCAAGCCTGCGGAAATAAAGTCATTGAAGCCCTTCTATCCCTGTCTAGAGTGCTCTACGGTCTGCACATTGGTGAGCCGGTATACCCATTTCCAGAACTCAGGCCACAAATTTTGTAAGGGTCCATGTTGATTTTTATCTCTTCACCAACTTCTCAACCAATTGCTAATATTTAGCAACTAAGTCACGGATTCCCGAACCGGCACCATATTCTGCTTAGGATGCGATGATTACGTTTACGACGCGGAGCTAGAGAGCTTCCTCTTCGACCCTTCAGGTTCGTTTCCATACAAACATTCCAAGATCAATGGGCATGCCTCTAACATATTTAAAATAGTACTTAAAAAACGTAAACTTGATTCTGGGAACGATGACGATCAAGCCTATGTCATTGCTAATGCGAACAAGAGAGTCTGTGGGAAGGAAGGCGTTAGGGGTTTGTTTAACCTAGGCCAAACCTGCTATATGAATGTCATACTACAAACATTGCTTCATGACCCCCTTCTGACCACATACTTTCTCGGAAATAACCATCATACGTACGATTGCACAATCCAGAACTGCATTAGCTGTGCTGTTTCCGAAGCCTTTGCCGAATTTAATAACGACGACAAGACGGAAGGCTTTGGCGCGCTTAATTTACTATTAGCCTCATGGAGATCCAGTCCGGTAAGTTTGCTCCCGAATGGCCTATTGCCAGATTTGAATATTTTGAAACTTACCACGTCATCATCACCACAAATAGATGCTATCTGGTTATCAACAGCAGGATGCGCATGAATTCTATCAGTTTTTGGTAGACAAGTTACACGCAGGGGCTCATGACCACGTTGAGAACCATAACAAAACATGCCACTGCTTTTTCCATAACGCTTTTTACGGAAAGCTGCGAAGCAGCGTAACTTGTGACAAGTGCGGGAATGTCACACAGACGGAGGATCAGATGATAGACCTCAGTTTGGACGTTCAAGTCCAGAAGAAAAAGCGAGCGCTTGGCGGTGGTGAATCAACCGCGACCCCGACGCTTGACGGCTGCTTGCAGAGCTTTACCTCGCCGGAGAAGCTCATGGCGGATGCGTACAACTGTAGCGGCTGCGGAAGCACTCAGCAGAAAGCTACCAAGCAACTTCGAATCAGAAAACTGCCTGTGATATTGTGTATGCAGCTGAAGGTTAGTGTTCCCCTCTGCTCCTGCGTAGAACCGGCTCGCTTCAATACTATGTCTGTAGCCGCCATTCTGACGCAAAATTTTCGACAGCGATTCGAGCATACTCTTTCCGTGTCGGAAAAAGTCGAAGGAAAAATTGACTTCCCGCTCTCTATCAACATGCTCCCATATACCACCCGTGCACACTGCAAGAACGAAGGGGGCCATTCAAATTTTTTGTACGATCTTTCCAGTGCTGTTGTCCACAAGGGCAAGCTCGACGCTGGACATTATTATGTTTATTGTCGACAGGGCGAGCAGTGGTACCTGTTCAACGATGACCAAGTGACTGTAGTTAACGAGGCGGAGGTGTTAGCTGCCGACGCCTACCTTCTTTTCTACACCCTTCATGCTCTGTCTGGAGCTAGCTAGCGTTATTACTCGCCATGAAGATTTGTTTTCATATTATTTTTCATATCAATATTCGTCACATTGCTGTCTCCCTGCTCAAGTTGTTATGTTGGGCCTACCCTTGCCATTAGAAGCACGCGCCCAGGGATGCATATGCACATTGGAAAGACACAACCTTCTGGTCTTGACATTCACACTCCGGTTTTCCGTGGGGTTTCTGGGTTGTTGTCACTTTGTGCGTCTTGCACTCCTCGCCTTCCGTTGTGCTCCGTCTAGATCGCCTTCACTCTTCTTCATGTTGGCCTCAAAGATCAAACCCATGTCGCTGATCAACTATCCTTCCGCCTCTCTCTGGCTCTATTTATTTGCTCAGAAGTCCTTTATCACTGGTTGTTACTCGGTGGGTCGCTCTGGTCCACGACCCCTTCATCCCTCTCGCATATACGCCCCTTACGTTCCACATTTCATTGATGTGAATGCTGGGGGATACCTATTTGTTTGAGTCGGTATTGAAATATGGTTCTCAAGAAGAATTGAGTTTTCTCAGTAAGTCTTTGCCTGTGAAGCCACTTAACCCACATCTATTAGGTCGTACACCCATATTAATAATAGGCAATAGCGATATGGTCTTCTCTCTTGAGGGTACGAAGCTGTTATTGCGCCATGATCGTACAGCAGATGGACTACCCGAGCTGCAACCGCTACACATTGGAAGAGAACGGGTCTATTATATCACAATGTTTCCCAAACCCGAGCTGATCTCGTATGATATCCGAACCCGGGCGACAGCTCTGTCGGGTCAACCTTGCCCGAAAAGGTTAACAATAGGAGTCGTTATCCACAGTTCCACTTTATATCCGACATGGACTACGAGTTTCTAGCCTACGTATCGCAGGACCTTTCACCTTCATACCTTCATCCCCATCAACCCACATCATTCTGGTCAATGGCGCTGATGGCCATATATCCCAAGAAAATAGAAATTTCGGATGTATGCGGGGCCCTGGAGTTTAAGGAAACAACCCAACGTGACAGGCTTTGCGTTAGAAAAGAGAAAGCAAGGCATCATTGACGCCAAGCATGATTTTGATAGTTTTTGAGAAGTATTCACTACAGCCAGATGGATTGTTTACAGTAACGTCGACGGATTTATATCTCCTGGATATCAGCGCGACACGACATCCGACAGAACTCCCGTGTACGTGGATCCTTTCAGGCTGCTGGCATTCGCCATAATAGATGCGACTAGCAGTTGTACGATTCCTCGTGTCCTGGGGCCCAGAAAATTGGAAGACACTGATCTCCGCGAGATTGAAGTGACTCTCAGAGGAGAGGGAGTGGTTGGGAAGATTGACAATTGGTTCACTTTGGCTGCGACAAGTTACATTACTCTCCCCGCCGAAAACCACAGCATCAAAAACTAGGCGCCTATTGAAAGTTCGAGACAGAGATCCCCATTTGGCGTCCAAAGTTAGTTTTTGGGGAGAGCGAGGACTTCTCTTTTATGTCAACGGTTATCATCCGCGGGATTCGGATGCCACATATGCTTTCGACTCCATGCGCAAACCGAATAATACAAGACCTGGAACGTCCGGGGCATGAGAAGTGGCTGGGCGGATGACCGTTTGTTTAGTTTTTCTTTCTTCTTATTTATTTTATGTCATTGCCATGTTATTTTATTTTATATTCTTTTCATGCTGAACGAACAGCAGAAACTGGGCATAAGAAAGGGGAGAAATTTTCTCTGGAGCAGGGACCGTAGCGTAGCGACAGAAGGGGGAAAAATTGCATTTGCGATTAGCTAACTACTGGTGCCAAGCGCTACTCACCACTAATGGTAGTGAGTAGCGCTTGGCACAGTTATTTACTTCAACCCCTGATCTCAGAAAATAATACCTAGGTATGCCCCTGAGTATGAGAGCCGCAGCCGCCCCATCATTCTGATACAAGTACTGTACATTCCAAATCCAAAGCGCCAGAACAAGCAATAATAAAAATGGAACTGCAGAGCTCAAACAGGAGCAAATATACGCCTCTCTGGATGGTATCAGCTTGGATTTTTCCGCCGTCCGCTCCCATATCCAGGGGCCTCGGAGAAGGGAATCTAAAACCAACACTCCTTAGCATCTCTCCTGCGCCGCCAGCACGAATCCAAACGGGCATATCTCTCGTCCGATTCTCGTTCGATTGATACATCGCATCTTCCCTCCATGGGTCAAGTTTTCTATATAAATTTTATATATATATATATATATTCAATTTCCTCGAAAAGCCATGCCCAATAAGATAGATCAATGGGCGATGAAGGCATCAATGATATAAAACAAATCCTGGTCCCTTAAAAGGATAATAGCGTTAGTTGTTAAAAAAAAAAAAAAAAAAAAAAAAAAAAAAAAAAAAAAAACAAAAGGGAAACTGCCTAGCCAGGGACCCTGCAGGGATCTTTTAATCTGCCCAAGGATGAATACACGGCTATCCCCTAGTTATCATCCGAGGCATCGCGGAGGGGGAAGAAAATGTGCAATGAATGAATGAATGAATGAATGGATGGCACGGCCGAACTACGGGCGCATTTTTCAAACATTGATTTCCCACCCATGAAATCATCAAACCGCAAATCAATCCGGCCTGCGACAAGGACGGACATGTACTGCACTCCGTACATACATAAAGTGCACAATTTTTTCGAGCTTCAAGATCTCAACAGGGGTGCATCTCTAGCCCAGCAAGAAGCGCACTGCCGCTTCCTATCGAGACCTGCCTAACACGCCTGTTTCAGAAGAATATCCCACGCAAACGCTAGCATCCAACGGATTGATGCGTGACAGCGCACTACTCAGTATTACGTTTCCAGAAGTCGGGGCTGGGATGATAGTCTGCATCGCACGCAAAACCAAACGGAGCAAACCCAGTTCTTTCCAGCGAAGGAATGGTTTGTTTGTTTAACACGGCGCGCTTTTGTTCTTGTTCTTGAACTTTGGTGGATTCCCCGCCAAGTTTCTCGGTTGGGATAGAAAGGTGGGGGACGAGTGAGTGAGTGGGTGAGTTATATTATATAATGTTCATCTATGTGGATTACTGCGAAGAACCACTATTGAGCAGGCAGGAGGGTAGCTCTGATTAATTGCGTGTTTCTTGTTCTGTGTTTTCGTCGGGCTCGCGTAGGTTGCCAGCTCTTGTATAGCTCGATAGTTCCCTCTCTCTGCCTCCCTCCTCCCTCCCTCCTCCCTCTCTCTGTTCTTTGAGCTACCTCGCAGATTCTTCACAGCTGTCGCCTCTCCTCAGCGTATGTCCAGTCCACACCACTCCAATCAACCCCACACCCGGAGCCAAGGCCACCAAAGCAGCTCCCATCGCACCTCATGCACAACTGCAGTCCAACCCACAGTTTATCACAGAAGAACGACAGTCGTGATCATGATCATGATCATGATCCCGCTCCCAAAGAGTACTAAGAATACCAAGAATACCAAGAATACCAAGCGGCGGGTCCTGGTGACTCATTGCCCCCCGTTTTTGAGACGGAACCGGCTGGACCGGTAAATCCTTCACCGTGTTCCCTCCGAAATCTAGGCACAGAAGATGAAAATCTCGGACGAGGAAGTTTGAATTCCTGGCATTTATTTAGTGTTAGTAGTATTAATATTACTATTATGATGCAGGAAAAAAAAAAAAATGATGTGCAGGAAAAGAAGTCGAAGGGACTTCTTCTCTTCGACGCGTGAGCGCGGTGATTCCGATTATTTTTATTTATAGATATAGATATATTTTTCGCCAGCTGTCTCAATCGACTTTTCGAGTAATTTTTTCATAATACTGGCAGGGTTAGTTCAGCCCTCCACAGGGCCCAGGCGGCTGGATCTCGGAGCATGATAAAAAACGGGAGTGGACTGTGCATAGCATTTCATGAACGGGGACGACGGTGCGAGAGTCCAGTGCTGGCGGGCAGCCCATCCCTTGCGTGCTCGGGCATTTTTACATAGTATGTATGTACATGACCGTGACTCAGGAGGGAAGCTACTAGTATAACCTCGGCCATGGGAATTGCGGACGGCCGATCGAGCTGAGGACAGTGACTCAGCGG